TGTATATATATATATATATATATATTATATACATAAAATTTGTCACAATCAAATGTGTGAATAATGTTGAACCGAGCGATTGTGCTGATGCAGCAGTCATTTCAGTAATGTGTTTTGCAAATGCACACAGAGACTGCTTTCCTGTCTAGAGTCCAGATGTACTGGTCTGAAGATCTGAAGCTACAATGTCTGGAACTCAACAGCCAATGATTGAAGCACTAATGAGAATGAATTATGAGATTGTGAACTTAAAGCTCTAAATGTGTCCCAGCATTCAAATTAAACTGAAATAAACAGTAATGTAGTAAGGTTAACGGAATAATTTAGAGGCTTTTTAATCATTTTTTGGGCTCAAATGTAATCAAGATAAGTAGCTATTATCAGCGTCATAACACAATAACAGTGTCATAACTGTTCATTTTATAATTTACTTTAAGGTGCTAATGAATGTGACAAGGTAAAATTGGCTGTTATGTAATACTCACACTGAATGTCCAGCATCACTGAAGAGTTTTGGGTGCCATGTTGGTTCTGAGCTGTACAGTGGTAGCAGCCTCTGTGTTTTTGGTCGATCCTATCGAAGGTAAGAGTGTCTCCGGACTGCAGCTGCTCCATCTGTCCTTCACTCTCTCTGGACCAGGTGTAGTTCAGCACTGCTGGATTTGCATCACTGCTGCAGATCAGAGTCACTGAACTGCCCTCCAACACAGAGCTGGAGGGAAGCACAGACACTGATGTGTTTTTAGGCGAATCTGAACGGGAAAAAATCAGGGCTTCACAATAAAAATCACAATAATATGAAAACTAAAAAGCATCACAAAGCATCACTTACACTGAACATGTAATGTGATGCTGTCCTGTGCTGTTTTGTTCTCGTCCTGTAGCTGGTAGGTTATAGTGCAGGTGAAAGTGACTCTGTGCTGACGGTGAGTAGCAGTGAAGTTCAGATCAGAGATGAGCTCCTCTAGTCTGCTGCTCTCACTGAGGGGGATTCTGGGAGTGGAGCTCCATGTGAGAGTTGGTGGAGGAGAGGAGCAGAGAGTCTCAGCAGAGCAGCGCAGACTCACAGAGCTCCCCTCCAACACCTCCTTCTGCTCCACATACAGCTGCACTGTGGGTTTGGGGGGAGAGTCTGAAAAAGTAAAATGACAATGACGGCAACTTTTAAAACATTCATTTAACACATTTGTTTATAAATAAAATGCTCAAATCACTCACCAATCACATTTATAGTGGAGGCATTTACAGTGTAGATGTATTTCAAATCACTACTTTCAATCCTGAAGTAATATTTACCAGTGTGCTTTGAACTAACATTATAGAAGACAGTGGTGCAGTTCTTCTCAAGTAGGTTTCCAGTTATTTTCCCATTAGAGTGATTAGGTTTGGGATCTGTGGAGTGAAACACTAGATGATCATTAATCTTATCTCCATCTTTGAGCCACAGTCCTGTAGCAGCACTCTTAGGAACGAGGTTTTTGTCATGTTTTTCCTCAGTCTCAAATGTGCACTTTATGATCACACAGGATCCACTGAGAGCTTGAATGTTCTGTGGCAGACTGATGTTGAAATCTCTACAACAAACACCTACAACACACACATAATGCAAACATGTAAGAAATAATTTTTAAATTATTATAAATATCAAGAAAAGCGGTCTGGAAATGTTGTTCTTAAATTTAGTTTATGAATGGAAATATGCTCAAACCTTTCAACAGAAAACCAAGAAGAATTATTTTCTCTGCTGTACAGATGTCCATCCCTTCATTCATTGAGGAGCATCAACCTACAGGTGAAAAGCAACTTTGAGCCCAAAAAAAGGAAGAAAGAAAAGGAACCTGTAACACCTGCTAAACTGGGCCACCCCCTTCCTCTCTCACTTTTTATGATTAAGAGACATTTCTTTGAGTTTGAGAGCACTGACTACATAATACTCACCTTTGCTTTCAAGGAAGAAGATGCAAAAGTTTTTGCACAAATATGTGCCAAAGATGATACCTCAGGAAGGAGGAAGTAACATTTCATATTTTACATCAACATTAATGGTTGATTGAAAACATTGCCTTTTTGTTTATTTTCCTCCCATAAATTAAAATACTTTTTGAAAATAATACTTAGCATGTAGTACATGTGTGAACAAATTAAAAAAAAATTTATCTGTGAATTCTTATTTTAGACCATTGATAATTGTTCCATTACCCATACATTTGAATAATTATATTCACTTTAATATTTCAGTAGGCTATATTTAATCCATTTGTTTAACCACTTAAGACATTAAAATATTCTCTGCATGACTTTGAATTTGGAATTGGATATTTAAATATGTGGTAATTTTGCTTTATCCCTTTAAAATTAAGCAGAATTAGAAATGAATGATTAATTATTTTTTTAATAATGTAATTGCAATAATGATGATCATTAACTGGATAAAGCATAATATATCCTTTATCAAAAAAAATATGTTAGATATGTTACATATGACAGCATCTGTTAATGTTCAATAAGTCTACTAATTTTGGTTTAATGTAATGGAAGTAAAACAGCAAAAAGGTTCTGACCTTCCTGGGGCAGAAAGTGTGGGAATCTCCTGTTTAGATCCCAAGTTTCCAGCTGTAACACCTGCTGCTGATTAGAGACGGACTGAAGCTCTGCTGCAGAAACCGAATCTGAAGCATAATCTACTGACTGGCATCAGATCTATTATAACTTCCCTTTTTCATCACTTCACACCAGTACTTCCTGGATCAGCATGAACATGCCTTCTTTGCACAGACAAAGCCTTTAACTGAATTTCTGGAAAGTCTTTTGCTACAAAAACTATACAACTTACATAATCTTCTATGTTCCATCTAATTTCAGTCTATTGCTCACACAAAGCTATAGTATGGCTTCAGAAAACTTGAGATGTAGTGCACAGGTTTTATAGATGTATGAGCAGGGAGAGGGGAAAAAAGTCAGGTGATGATATATTAAATAATATTAGCAATGTATGAAAAAACCTAAATCGCTTAAAATTCGACTACAATGTTACATGAGCAGCGGCCTACAAGCACTAGAACAGTTCATTAGTACTATAAAAGTTGTGAGTAACGCTTTCATTTTTATTTTAATGAAAATATTCAACCAGAGAGAAAGAGATCAGAATAAGAAGAAACATGCCAGATGTAAAAGTAATGAACATGTACATCACCTAAGAAAAAAAATCATCAAACACCACAAGATTGGGCCAAAAGGAAGCCATTTACAAAAGATTTTTGGAAATTCCCCTTACTTTCAGACTGATTATCTCTAAAAGGAGAAAAGTCTTCTATGGAAGCATTCTTCTGTAAAAACGTGATTTTTTTATAGAGCAAATCGCTCCCATAAAGGAAATACCCCAATAAAAAACAAGGCTCAAATCTCAAATGTTCTGCATGTACATTATATTTACCATCATTACATTTGGACTCAAGTTTAAAGTCTAAAGAACAAGAATTTTCAAAATGTGTATAAATGTACCCTGTAATATGTTCTAGAGATCCGGTTTTGAACCTGTGTGTCCAAGGCAACCAGGCACACAAAATACCTTTTGCAAAGAGGTAGTGACGTATTTATTCTTGATGAAAAAAAAATCTATCAGACAATTTGCCACCACACTGAAAAACATATTCACACTGAGCAAAGACATTATTTTGAACAGGATAGTCGTTTTCTTAACTTTCTCATTTGGAATCTACACGCGTTCTGAAAATTGATCATTGCTTTGCTACCCTGCCTCTTCTCTATGATTCAAATAATCTTCCAGAGCCTGTGTAGCAACTTAGGACAATGCTTATAAACCTGTGGAATGTCCCACTCTGGCCTGGTGCTAAATTCGACCTAGCCTTCCTTACCATGTCCTGGACTTCCACAGTGGCTCTGTGAAGTCAAACTGGCTTTGGTAATCACAGCTTCACACTGCCTTAGATCCTGCTTTCTCATGGGATCACTGTAGGTGCTGTGGAGGAAATTCACGAATGCTATTATTCTGAAGGTAATCACAGCCATTGCCGTTGCTTTTATACGACAGTTCAAGAAACTTCAGCATTTAATAAGTGGTTATAAATTATATTTCAAACACAATATTGCCAGTTATAGTACTTGGTCTATTTCTGCTCCTCCACCAGTTTTGGCATTCCGGAATGAATCTGTGTTTTTGAATGAATTGGTTGAGTGCATGATTTAACAACTCTGGCATATCAATATAACCCTGCAGAAAGAGTCACTGATAATTAACCCATTTAATTCCAGATTTTTTCCAGACATGAAAACATCCAGATGATGTGTCATTAGTAACCATTTGAAATAATAAATAATATTTTTTTTATTAAATTTTTTGGAAGTGTGAAAAATTTTGTTTTATGGTCGGTGGGATAATGTGTATACTGAATTAACATTTTTCTGCAGTCATCAGAATTTTTATATATCTCAGCCCAGCGATTTTAAACTCTGTTTCATCACGTTCTAGAGTTACTATTATGCATAAAACCCCTTATACAACACTGATAGGAATACTGAGATAAAAGACAAAAAATACAACCTCTTTTAACATTTTTACTTTATTTACACAACAGGTCATTTCAATTCTCTCATCCTTTTTTTATACATTCGCTGAAATTCTATGCAATCAACACTTTCAAGCTTCAATAAGTATGGAAAGACATTGTACAGACAGAAGATGGGTAAACTTGGAGACAAACATATATTAAATAACAATAAGTATTCCTACATCAAAAAGTCAACATTAAGAAACAATATGAATCTCAAATGTAAGGCCTACTTGAAAACATATAGTCAGAAATAGTACATAAAATGACAAAAATGATAACAGACAAATAACTAGTCAATGTGCACATTGTCAAAGTTTTGTAATGCATCAGGCTTGAAAACAGAAAGAATCCATGTGCAGTTAGTTATTTTCTATTAGATTATGAATACAAATGAAAACTCTTATTAACAGGCCAAATCTCATGTCAAGTCACTCATGTGAAAATATATGCATTATAAAAATCCTGGAAATACAGCTGACAAAGGAAGACAAAGGAGGAGATCAGATGTGTGTTTGTTGTTTACTGTGTGTCACCTCTCTTAATGTTCAAAGTCTCATATTCAGAGGGTGGAGCAGAGAGCTGAAGAGACGCATATGTGCCTGCTGCTTCATTCTGAGCCTGAAAACAGAAACACTCTTCAACACCATCATCATCATCATGCTGCCTTACTATATCTACTATTTACCTAAGGAGACCCACCTTCAGCTTGCTGGACAATCTGGAAAATAGAAAATGAATTACTAAAAAGAGTTCAAGCTCAGCTCATCTGTACATTTATCTCTGGATAGAGAAATGTGTTGTTACTGTTTGAATGACTCGCTGTCTAATTTTGTAAAGTGCAAGTCCAACAGTCAGAGCGAAGAGAACCAGAATCAGGGTTAATATGATCAAGAGTGAAACTGTAGCCTGCTGACAATCTAAAAACACACAATATGCACATGAAACAGAAAAATATAGGATACAGTAGAAAGAGAGAAAATCGAGAGTCCCAATACTGTCCAAGTAGTATTTACATGGAGCACAGTACTAGTAAAATGGGAGCTGAAGGTTTTTTCTTGCCGTTTCATAAGTATGAAATTACAGGTGTTGTACAATCTGACAGCTTTACAATTCAGAAAGTCTTTAGAAAAAAAGAGACTGGCATATGAGTGGCATGATTCGAAGCAATAAGGCACGAGCGGCTATATTGTGAAAACTGCTTTATTTGTGTCTATTTTCACAATACAGCAGTCTTAAGTGCTTTATAAAACATTTTCTACATAACAAAAAATATTAAGGATTTTACATAAAACATTATTTTACCAAGCAAATTCTTTGACGGCATCATTTCACTAGAATATTTTGTTCTTGACATGACACAATGTTGTGATGTACCTGTAATGATTTACCTGCATACTGCAAACCAGAGAGAGGCAGTTGAAACTGTTGACTTGCATTGCCATGAGTGTTGTTGCTGACACACTGCAGAATGGATGTGTGTGTGAGAGACTGATGAAGAGTGATGGAGCTCCTCAAGCCTGTGCTGCTCAATCGCTCTTCACTGATGAACGTGTTTGAAGAGTTAGTGACAGGACGTCCAGACAGATACCACTCCAGTTCAGGAGAGGGATTCCCATCAGCCTCACAGAAACACACAGTTACATCAGTTCTGGTACAGCTGGAGGATGGAGAGATTTTAGGGGCATCTGAAAGTATTAAAATGAGAAAAACAAAATAACTACAATGATTCCGCTCCTGTCAGTGATAAATGTTGCAGTTCAGCGCTGCTGGATTTGCATCACTGCTGCAGGCCAGAGTCACTGATCTGCCCTCCAACACAGAGCTGGAGGGAATCGCTGAAGCTTTCAGGTTTTTAGGGGCATCTGAGAAGCAAAGTTAAAAGATTGACATAGGAAGGACTGACTGGCTTACTAGGGAAGTTGGGGTACGTCATATTTCTGTCAGTTACATATAAAGTGGGCCGATTATTTGGACATAAGCTTCATTTCAAAATATATGAATGCATGTGCATTAGGTAACAAAATATCAAAACAAGTGGCATTTACTTGAACTACGCCTTTATTAAAACTTATGATTTTAAAACTTGTTTTATCGCTGGCTCTGTCCTCCACACACTAGTTAGAAAAATGTGACAGTAACTGTAGCAAAAAACACATTTTGTCACAAACTAATGTGTGAATAATGTTGAACCGAGCGATTGTGCTGATGCAGCAGTCATTTCAGTAATGTGTTTTGCAAATGCACACAGAGACTGCTTTCCTGTCTAGAGTCCAGATGTACTGGTCTGAAGATCTGAAGCTACAATGTCTGGAACTCAACAACCAATGATTGAAGCACTAATGAGAATGAATTATGAGATTGTGAACTTAAAGCTCTAAATGTGTCCCAGCATTCAAATGAAACTGAAATAAACAGTAATGTAGTAAGGTTAACGGAATAATTTAGAGGCTTTTTAATTATTTTTTGGGCTCAAATTTAATCAAGAAAAGTAGCTATTATTGCATCATAACACAATAACAGTGTCATAACTGGTCATTTTATAACTGACTTTAAGGTGCTAATGAATGTGACAAGGTAAAATTGGCTGTTATGTAATACTTACACTGAATGTCCAGCATCACTGAAGAGTTTTGGGTGCCATGTTGGTTCTGAGCTGTACAGTGGTAGCAGCCTCTGTGTTTTTGGTCGATCCTATCGAAGGTAAGAGTGTCTCCGGTCTGCAGCTGCTCCATCTGTCCTTCACTCCTTCTGGACCAGGTGTAGTTCAGCACTGCTGGATTTGCATAACTGCTGCAGGTCAGAGTCACTGAACTGCCCTCCAACACAGAGCTGGAGGGAAGCACAGACACTGATGTGTTTTTAGGCGAATCTGAACGGGAAAAAATCAGGGCTTCACAATAAAAATCACAATAATATGAAAACTAAAAAGCATCACAAAGCATCACTTACACTGAACATGTAATGTGATGCTGTCCTGTGCTGTTTTGTTCTCGTCCTGTAGCTGGTAGGTTATAGTGCAGGTGAAAGTGACTCTGTGCTGACGGTGAGTAGCAGTGAAGTTCAGATCAGAGATGAGCTCCTCTAGTCTGCTGCTCTCACTGAGGGGGATTCTGGGAGTGGAGCTCCATGTGAGAGTTGGTGGAGGAGAGGAGCAGAGAGTCTCAGCAGAGCAGCGCAGACTCACAGAGCTCCCCTCCAACACCTCCTTCTGCTCCACATACAGCTGCACTGTGGGTTTGGGGGGAGAGTCTGAAAAAGTAAAATGACAATGACGGCAACTTTTAAAACATTAATTTAACACATTTGTTTATAAATAAAATGCTCGATTCACTCACCAATCACATTTATAGTGGAGGTATTTACAGTGTAGATGTATTTCAAATCACCACTTTCAATCCTGAAGTAATATCTACCAGTGTGCTTTGAACTAACATTATAGAAGACAGTGGTGCAGTTCTTCTCATGTAGTTTTCCAGTTATTTTCCCATTAAAGTGATTAGGTTTGGGATCTGTGGAGTGAAACACTAGATGGTCCTTCATCTTATCTCCATCTTTGAGCCACAGTCCTGTAGCAGCTCTCTTAGGAACGAGGTTTTTGTCATGTTTTTCCTCAATCTCAAATCTGCACTTTATGATCACACAGGATCCACTGAGAGCTTGAATGTTCTGTGGCAGACTGATGCTGAAATCTCTACAACAAACACCTACAACACAATACAAACATGTAAGAAATAATTTTGAAATTATTATAAATATCAAGAAAAGAGGTCTGGAAATTTTGTTATTAAATTTTGTTTATGAATGGAAATATGCTCAAACCTTTCAACAGAAAACCAAGAATAATTATTTTCTCTGCTGTCCAGATGTCCATCCCTTCATTCACTGAGGAGCATCAACCTGCAGGTGAAAAGTAAATTGAGTCCAAAAAAAGGGAAAAAAAACCTGTAACACTGTGTAAACTGAGTCACCCCCTTCCTCTCTCACTTTTTATGATTAAGAGACATTTCTTTGAGTTTGAGAGCACTGGCAACATAAAACTCACCTTTGCTTTCAAGGAAAAAGATGCAAAAGTTTTTGCACAAATATGTGCCAAAGATGATACCTCAGGAAGGAGGAAGTAACATTTCATTTTTTACATCAACATTAATGGTTGACTGAAAACATTGCCTTACTTTTTGTTTATTTTCCTCCCATTAATTAAAACCCGTTCTTAAAATAATACTTAGCGTGTATAGTACATGTGCGAATGCATTACAGTTTTCTTTGTGAATTCTTATTTTAGAACCTTGAAACTTGGTCCATCACCCATAAATTTGAATAATTATATTCACTTTAATATTTCAGTATACTTAATCCTTTTGTTTAACCACTTAAAATATCTAAATATTCTCTGCATTACTTTTTTTTATTAGTTGTTTCATGAAATTGGTTGTTTCATGCAATCAAGATTAATAAACACTGCAATGAATTTGGAATTGGATATTTAAACAATATGTGGTAATTTTGCTTTATCCATTGAAAATTAAGAATAATTAGAAATTAATGATTAATAATAAATATTTTTTAATTATATATTTATAATAATTATTATCATTAATTGGATAAAGCATAATATATCCTTTATTTGTATAACATTTATTTATTGAGTTTTTACAAATTTTCACAAAAACACTACACAACTCCCCAGAACATTTCCCAGGCAGAATCAAAAATAAAAAATAAAAAACTGTAAACTGTAAACATATATTGATTTTTATTAATCAGTCCTCATAAACATTCTTACATTCCATAATGTCACACTTCTAAAGCTTCTTAAAATCTCAATTTTTAACAAAGTCCAAAAACAGCTCCCAGATATCCAAAAATTTAGAGGATTTCGTCCTTGTTACATATGTAAGCTTTTCAAGAGCCAAACAAGATATTTGAAGTTTTTCAGCCATAGTCCAAGGGAAGGGCAATTGGTATTTTTACAACATAGGGCAATAGAAATATATCCTTTATTTTAAAAAATGTGTTAAATATGTTAGATATGACAGCATCTGTTAATATTCAATAAGTCTACTAATTTTGGTTTAACCCTTAAATGCATACCTCAGGTCTTTAGCGACCCGGGACATCATTCTCTACCCTCCTTCATTTTTTTAAGTTAGACATCAACTTTCTGAGTATTCCTCAATATATTAATTATAAACAATATAACAAGAAAAAAATAGTAAAATATAAAAGAATGCCAGATTTCTGATTAATTTTTTGTAAAAATGTATAGGGTCGCTGGAGACCCCAGGTATGTAAATGTGTAAGTATTTTTTCCTGCGTAACTATATTTACATATCTGATGACTCAATATGTGCATCTTTTTTCCTCAAGGTGGCACTGTTTGATACACAGTGATGACGTGACGTTTCACTTATAATTACCGCAGGCATAAAACAAACGAATATCATCAGCAAAAATTGAAGTGGTTTGAATGGCTTTACTGCAGAGCAATTACTGTATGCAATGAAATATAAATGTCACTGCCATTTGATGCTGGATGTGATGAATAAGCTGCCAGTGATCAAAATATTGAATATGAAGTCATTAAAAATTATAGTTTTGAGAATATGGTTGAGATCGTGAATGTGAGGCAGATGTTGAATGTACTGTGGAAGTGTGCTCTGACGATGACAGCGATGGTAAAATAATCTGCTCAAATTTAACCCAAAAGGTAACGAAATATATTTTATTCTATTCTTCTGTAATTGTTCTTAAAATATCAAGAGAGTTTTTTGCTATTGCAGAAGTTAGAGATCCATCCGTGCTGGATATATAGGTCCAGGTCGCTAAAGACCCGAATAGCCTATGTAATATGGCGAAACATTCATGCATTTAAGGGTTAATCGCGCGATAATGAAATCGTTCTGCGATTATGAAAGCTGTTTGCGTTGCTTGTCAGTGAACTACAGCTCTGTGTAGTAAATGCTGCTCCATCTGAAAGCACGTGAAAATACCACATTTAATAACATGTTTTTACTCTAAACTAACTTCATAACGTCAGTCGAGTGTTTGAAGTAAATCCTTCTGTGAGATGATGTGGCTTCTTACACAGAATAAGGCACGCAACATATTTTCATAGTATTCTAAGCAGTGATAAAGGCTGTGTCGATTAGCATTGCATTATTTTATACTTTATTATAATAAAAATTATAATAAGACGAACTCAGATAAACCATATACTGTCGTAGCCGTGTGTTTATTACTCACGTTGAATCAATGAAAGCAGTTAAATCAGTTAATATCTTCATTTGCCAACCTTCTTAAGTTGTGTTCTGTTCACTGTTTTTGGTCCGGTATTGTTGATGTTACCCTGTGTGTTAGACCCTCTTCTTCGTGTGGATTACCATTAAAAGGATTTGTTGTTATAATCTTCGTCGTGCCTTCATATCCCTAACAGCAGTAGCGTGACAGAACACCAGACCAGTGTTGCCAATTTAGCTACTTTGTAGCTAGATTTAGCGACTTCCCCGCTCCTTTTGAGACTTTTTTCAAAAGTTTAGGGACAAATATAGCAACTTCTTGGACAAACCTTATCTAAGTTCTCATCTTGCCCACTGATCTACGTTCATCCTTATATAGATCAGTGAATTTGCCATTATGATGTCATCTAGTGACATTTAGCTACCAGTTTTAGCTACTTTCAATTGAAAGCAGTTGGCAACACTGACTGTGAGTCAAATCATGGCATCTTCGCTCGTCATATGCACAAAACATGTCCTGCTTCATCATAACCAGGCGATGAATTTATCCATTACTAAAAATAAAAACGGACTTTCCGTTTTTGTCAGTTTTTATCTTTAGTTACTTTAGTTATTAACTCACTGACTACGTTGGATATCAGTAATCTAATTATTTACCTTATTCTAAATAAGCCAATATTATGATTATGGTGTTTACATGAGTTGCTTTTAGAATATTCCTTTCATGTTCCC